ACACACTCACTCACACACACACACACACACACACACTCACACACACACACACACACACACACACACACACTCACACACACACACGGTTTTTATACTGTACAAACTGTATGTGCTATTGCCCTACACCAACCCTACACCTAAACCTACCCCTTACAGGAAACTTTCTGCATTTTTACTTTCTCATAAAAACTCATTCTGTATGATTTACAAGCGTTTTGAAAAATGGGGACATGGGGTAATCTTCATAAATCACCTTCTCCTTGTAATACCTGTCATATGCTGCATTCATGCAGAGAGCTTCTAAATAGATTAGCATGGAGGATTCCCCCCCCCACATCGTCTGCTCCACTCACAAGCTGATTAATGTGTCTTTTGTGTGTCTGTGTGTGTTGTACAAACCTGTTTTAGTGTTCCAGGTGTGTGTTTATTACCTGTACTTGTACTTTGTGAGTGAGTGTGTGTGGGATTTGTTCTTCGGACAAGATGGAGCACATTACTCTCATCGATCTCCTACTGATGTGAGAGGAGATACTGATACACGCTTTACGTGCACACACACACACACACACACACACACACACACACACAAGTTTTCAAGATGCTTTCACACTTCATGTTCACTTCACAAAAATCATGTCCTTCATCAGTATTTTGTCTTGTTTTCCAGGACAAATATCTAAACAATTTTAAATCAAAATGCACTTACTTGAAAAGCAAAATGATTTAAGATATTACGTTTTGCTTTCTTAAAAATGTATGAAAATTAATTGGGATTTTGCTTAAAACAAGAAAAAAAATACTTAATTCACAGAGAAAACAAGATTATTTCAGGAAACAAGACTTATATCTAAGTAAATGCATCTTGATTTAGGAATGTTTAGATATTTGTATTGGAAAACAATCATTTGTTGCGGTGCAAAGGCCAGAAGTCACGTAACAACTCCAGTGCATCAAGGGGGAAGACTAACAGAGTGAATCAGTGAACCAGTGAAGGTCATCTGCTGCTCTGACGGCCACAAACATCTTCAGATCAAGGACACTGAAGCACACAAACACCACAGCATCCCTAATGAACACACTCATATACAGTGCAGTGAGTGTTGAGAGGACTCAAGTGATGACGTGTGTAAACACACAGCTGCCGTCATCATTACTGTACAGACATGACATGAGCACCCTGCAGTGTGTGTGACGTCTGCGGTGACGCGTCTGAGCGCAGCAGTGTCTTCTTGTCATGCAACATACGTGTGCTCGCCAACACGCTCACCAGAGTCAAACACAGCGAGCTTTGAGATGCATCGTCAGAATGACACATACAGTCACTGCACTGGACGCACTGTACATTGTGTGTGTGGTATGGAAAGAACAAGTGCACTCAAACATCATTAACGTTTTAAGCGGCCCGATGGTGTTGGCTTTTAAGAGAGCCGTAATTAGTGATTCTAGACGAACCTGGAGCAAATGGAAAAATACCGCAGTAAAAACACTCTTCAGCTCCACATAAGTGTGTTATGCAAAAGACGGATTCATTAAACTCATGGGGTTATTTATCTATTAAATGAATTATCTGCTGAAGCCATCAGTGGAAATGAGGCCAGAGCCTCTGTGATGGAGAAAGAGCGTGACACGCCCCCTACAGGCCAATCAGATCACTGCTGGAGCACAAGCCCCGCCCACTAGCACTGATTGACAGGAGCCTTAAATTACACATCGGGGTTATTATAGTTAACTAAAACTAAATAAGTGTTTTTAAAATGTTGTTACTTAAAATATATGTTAACTGAAATAAAACATAGAAAACCTTATTTACGGCATTCATAAGCTCAACAGAATCATGTGTGATTGGGTATACAGTAATGCCAATTGTAAAAATGCGTAAAAAGAAATCGGCGTGTCTATTTACAATAAGTGCAAATAGACCGTCTTGTTGGCAGAGGCTATTTACATAAGCTCCGCCCATCATCGTGTGATTGGGCTAATCAACAAGACGGTCATCTATCAGCAGTCCGTGGATTTCCTGCAGACTTGCGCTACATTAACACTATTGCCGCAGGTTGTTTTTATGTCCGTGGGTTGAATAACGTGATATTTAGCCCCTAAAATGCAAATTTTACCAGGTGAACCCGCCAAAAACGTTGTATTTTATCCCCTGGAACGTGATTTTTACTGGGGGACTCCCCTCGAAACACGATTGGGCTAGTTTTGGGCTAGTTTTGAGTAGTAATTGGGCGGGTTTTGTTGTGAAAACCTGGCAACCCTGTCTATCAACAGCTCCAGGGGTGTAGATGTTAAAGCACGCGCAGTTGTCTTTTTGACGCGATTGACCCGAGTTCGAATCCGCCTTTTGCCAAACTTTTGTTTTTCTCTTTTTAAAAATAATATCACATCGGAAAGGCATTTATTTTCAATAAAAATTAAAGACATAATCGAAAAGTTGAAAATAAAGTATGGGGTAGGTGCTATCAGCAGTCCGTGGATTTCCTGCAGACTTGCGCTACATTAACACTATTGCCGCAGGTTGTTTTTATGTCCGTGGGTTGAATAACGTGATATTTAGCCCCTAAAATGCAAATTTTACCAGGTGAACCCGCCAAAAACGTTGTATTTTATCCCCTGGAACGTGATTTTTACTGGGGGACTCCCCTCGAAACACGATTGGGCTAGTTTTGGGCTAGTTTTGAGTAGTAATTGGGCGGGTTTTGTTGTGAAAACCTGGCAACCATGTCTATCAACAGCTCCAGGGGTGTAGATGTTAAAGCACGCGCAGTTGTCTTTTTGACGCGATTGACCCGAGTTCGAATCCGCCTTTTGCCAAACTTTTGTTTTTCTCTTTTTTAAAATAATATCACATCGGAAAGGCATTTATTTTCAATAAAAATTAAAGACATAATCGAAAAGTTGAAAATAAAGTATGGGGTAGGTGTAGGGAGGGATTTATTATTCCAATAAGGTGGCATCCATTTAATAATTTGAATTAAAATTATAATTTGCACTCAATATGTTACTATCGCATACAATATGAGGAGCACATAATTGCCACTATTCGCAATAAGTAGTGTAACTAGCAGAAAATCCTGCTATTTTAACATTGTGTAAATAGAATCAATAGCTATTTGCACTTAGTGTAAACAGCCTCTATCGCTGCCAAAAGAAATATGGTATATGAGCAGACAGCCTTAATACATTCAGTTTATTTGTGCAGGGGGCATTCGAGTGACACAATGCAATTTACGGGAACTGTTCAGTCTACTAAATATAATGAACAGAATAACAGACCACGTTTTACTCAAATGAATTTGGACATTGCAAACAATTAATGCATTTTACTGGATTCAGTGCATCTTGAAAGTGTGGGATCTGTCAGGTTTGATCAGAATGTTGTTTTCCAGCAGCATGTGTTTGGATGAAGTCCTGCTGCTGTAGATCCACACTGATCCTCTCATCAGCAGAAAATCCCTCTCTATGCATGCACTGGTGGGTTATTTTCTCAATCTAGCCAGAACGTTCAATACACGTTTTTGTTCTAAGGTTTTATGCACCTTACTGAAGACCAGATAACTTTGAACAAACGTTCTATTCATGTTACTGAAGGAATGTTTATTTATAACGTATGCCAGAACGTTCCCTGTTAGCTTCCAGCTGCACATTTAATGAGCTCACATATTCTCTGTGAATCAAACCCATGACTAGCTGTTCAGATTTAAGATGCATATTTAATGTGAGCTGAACCACAACAGCCATTGAGTTTGGTTATGACCTGTCTTGTGTTGGCATTAGCAATCAGCTTCAGCTCACTGCTTCTGTCTCATCTTAAACCTTGTGCATCAAGAAATCAATCAAGCTTTGTCGACTTTAGCCAGAGGCGGACAAAGTACTCAACTCTATTACTTGAGTGAAAGTACAGATACTGCTGGTCAAATATTACTCCATTACAAGTAAAAGTTGTAAAGACAGATTTTTACTTGAGTAAAAGTACAGAAGTACTTGCTTTTAAAAGTACTTAAGTAGCAAAAGTAAATTTCCTTTTTTATGTCAATGCACTGTTTTATTGTTGTACGTAGTAGTACTTACAATACTTCTGAAGCAACGTATAATACATTACACCTGCTGAATACAGTACAGTGAAATCCTGTAAATACAGAGTGATAAGGAAGATAAAAAAAATCAAACCTGCTTTAAAACCCAGCAACACATCTGTAGCTGTGTAACTTTACAACAGCAACACTGCTTTAACAAAAAAGCAAAACAGCAAGACTGTACTTTGATGTACACACAGAACAGTCCTATGCAGTGCTGCTTCAGTCCAACACCTATTGTGTTTTATTAGGAGATGCACAACAGTTCTTCTGTGGCTTTATAGGTAATATTTCATGTACACAATTTAGCAAAATCAGAAAATATGGTGTGTAATGTATACCACAATATTAACTTCTTATTATTGAATTGTTGCATTTGCAACTGGTCAGTGTTCAAAAAATACTGGGAAATCTCTTCATGTACACTCTTAAAAATAAAGCTGCTTCAAAAGGTTCATCACAGCGATGCCATAGAAGAACCATTTTTGGTTCCACAAATAACCATTCAGTCAAAGGTTCTTTAAAGAACCATCTCTTTTATACCTTTTTATAATCTGAAGAACCTTCTTTCACCACAAATAACCTTTTGTGAAACAGAAAGGTTCTTCAGATGTTAAAGCTTCTTTATGGAACCATTTAGACAAAAAGGTTCTTCTGTGGCATCCTGAAGCACCTTTATTTTTAAGAGTGTAGCCCTACAAGAGAGATTACTGATAAACTGTCTGAAAAAGAAAGAAAGTCACGTTATAGAGAAGAAAAAAATCACCCACTGACTTTCAGAGCTGCTACAGAGTAATGCCTTTCTACTTCGAGGACTTTGATAGAAATGTAGTGGAGTGAAAAGTATAATATTTGTCTTTCAAATGAAGTTAAAGTCATAAGTTCCCAGAAAAATAATACTCAAGTAAAGTACAGATACTCAAAAAGTGTACTTAAGTACAATACTCAAGTAAATGTACTTAGTTACTGTCCGCCTCTGGCTTTAGCTCAGTAACAACTCCACATGTACTGCTGCCACATCCATAAATCAACCCAATATTCACTAGAGTAATCCAACAGTGTGGACTTGGAACTTACTGCTTGTGTCTTCATTGGCCTGGAGTTTCCAGCATGTTCTGATTAAATCCACATGTGTTTATTCCGAGCATCACTGATTATTTTAGATGGCTGACTAGAATAATTCATATTTTAAAAAATATATGAGGTGGGTTAAAGTGAACTGGATGCAAACTTGAATTGGGCTGACATGTGTTTCTGCACCACTAGTGGCTCTAAAGGGAACTGCAGACTGTTTTCAATCAGGTTCCATGAACATCAGACAGTCGTCCCAAACTCACACCATGGGTTAGTCAGGTCTGATCCGGTCTGGTGCAGTTAACCCTGCTGGTTAATACTGTAACTGCACCATTTCATTTCAGAAACTGATCATTTTCAAAGTTCTCTTAACTTGACAGTCATATAAATGTTAGGACAAAACATTCTTAAACTAATGTTTATGTTATGGTCTCATAACTTTATTAATATCTGATATACATTCTCAACGTTGAGAGAAAAACGGAATGTCTTTATAATGTTATTTGTACTTGATGAACGTTCTAAGAAATGTTTTTGAAAATTCTTAGAATAAAAAAAATAAACGTTCAAATTATGTTATATTTTGGGTGAAAATTAAGTTATTAGAACGTTGTAAGAAATGTTTTTGTAAACTTTAAATAACGATATGATCACAATAAGAAAATTGGACATTTTAACATTTAGAATATTAAAAATAAATGCTTACATAACGTTATATTATATGTAAAAAGAAAATTTGTAGAATGTTTTAAGGGGTCATATTCGTTTGAATCATCAGTGGCAACGAAAAACACAGTGGCCTGCCGTGAGGGGAAGCCCCGGCTTAGCGTGCGCTGAGGCCGGGATAGAGTGAGCTGAGACCGGGCTCAGGGCTTGATGTATTTCCTCAGCGTCCAGCACGGATCAGCTCCAGGCATGACGAAGCAGATATCGTCCTCTTTTGGAAGACCAAACAAAGTAGTTTCGCTTTCACAATGAAGCACACAGCGTCGTCAGGACATGACGGCGGAAACAACAATACTACAGCGAGAATAAAAGTTACGCCTTCTTTCTTTGCGTGAACATTTGGGCGGCGTTATGCAAATCTTCCCACATAGTGATGTAGACATGTGGGGGCGTGTTAGAACGAGCCGTTTTAGGTAGGCGTGGTTGACTCTTAACTTTTATAAAGAATATCTCTTTGGATTTGAGACTTTAGTCTTTGCAACTTTACAGATCTTCTTTATGCACCAAGAGCTTGTAACACTCCAAAGAGAAAGGAAATCGCATCATATGACCCCTTTAAGACAATTTTTTGTAACCTTTAAATGATGTTATCATCACAACAAGAAAACCGAACATTTGAATGTTTTTAAACAATGTTTCCACATTTTTATAACCTAAATGTGTTACCTGTGCTGGGAGGAATTCAAATCACCTTTGCATATCAAATTCTATTCAGCTTCATTGCCATATTATTCATCAAGACACAATTTCACAGTTGGCAGCGTGAAGAACATATTTCATTAACACCAGCTGAGAAAAGAAACATTTCCATGACTAAAAAGTGTCTTCAATTCATAAAGTACAATTCCAATATCAATAAAATCAAATTTTTATCTGTTGAACACAATAAAACATTGAGACAACAGTCAATACCATGGTTGAACTGTGGTTGGGTGGGGCAAAGTTGTCACATTTGTTTTACACACAATTTTTGGAGGTTCCCATTGTGACGACTTACCCCACACCTCCTGTAAATGTCCTGTAGCTCAAACATTAATGCTAAAGTCCAGTGAACTGATCAAATGAATAAGTCTAGTCAGAATATAGCTGTTTACACTGGTTCGTTGGTCGCTGAAACTGTATTTATGAGTTAAATATGGAAAGCCGCGCATGAGTGTGTGTGTGTGTGTGTGTGTGTTTGGTGTTCTGGCAGACTGAGTAAGTGTGTCTGTTGTTCTTTCAGTGGCACAGACTTACAGTAGGAAGTTACTTTTTTATTCATAAATCTGTGAGTGTCCCGCGGTGTCGCCCACCGGAGGCCCGAGCCACCGTCAGCACTCGTGTGTGTCGTCACTCTGTGTGTGTGTGTGTGTGTGTGTGTGAATCACAGAGTTATTTACAGCTACTGTCTTCATTTAAACACAATAGCAGCATCAGGACAAATTGAAGTTGCGAAACACACACGAGCCGCAGGACATCAGCTGACCTCATCTACAACACACACACACACACACACACACACACACACACTCTCTCTCACACACAAACACACACGTGTTCATTTTCATTCATGCATTCATCTTTATTAAGTCTTTGTTTATTCATATTTGTCTTTATTAAGTCATTATGTTTATACATATTTTACATTTTTCATTTTCAATTAGTATTTATGTTCATTTATATCTCTCTTTATGAAGCCGCTGGAGACTCATCTGACTGTGATGAGTAATGAGCTCACCTTGCAGTCTGTTTTAGTAAGGCACGAAGTAAGGAATCGAACCAGTGACCTTGGCGTTGCGAGCGCTGTGATCTACAGGAATCTCTCACACACACACACACACACACACACGTGTTCATTTTCATTCATCTTTATTAAGTCTTTGTTTATTCATATTTGTCTTTATTAAGTCATTATGTATATACATATTTTAAATTTTTCATTTTCAGTTAGTATTTATGTTCATCTATATCTCTCTTTATGAAGCCGCTGGAGACTCATCTGACTGTGATGAGTAATGAACTCACCTTGCAGTCTGTTTTAGTAAGGCACGAAGTAAGGAATTGAACCTGTGACCTTGGTGTTGCGAGCACTGTGATCTACAGGAATCATATACATTCACACACACACACACACACACACACACACACACACACACACACTCTCACACACACACACACACACACACACACACTGAGAGAGTGAACGTTTCCGTTGTGTAACCTTCCTGTCCGTGATGTTCTAACCAGATCTAATCAAACACATAAGTGATATAAACTTGTGTGAACTGATATTGGATATAAATATGTGATGGAACATGGAGCACATGAACAGCCTGATAATCTCAGGAGACGTCATGACAGTAATGTGCTCTGAGAACAGACTAAATATATGAGCAGAGACGTGAGGCTAACAGGACTGGCTTTAACATTAACTTAAAGTAATGAATATTATTAACCATTCTCATCATGATGTTATTTGTACTTGATGAACGTTCTCTTAATGTCTCATAAACATTCAAATAACACTATGTTTTAGGGTAAAAATAACTTTTGTAGAATGATGTAAGAAATGGTTTTACATACATACATATTTACATACTTTATTCTACAACAAAAAATACATCCGTAAAGTCCCCTTGTGTTTATTTTAAGCTTTACACTCAGAATCTTTACTTGTCACACAGTTTCTGAAAGCTGAAACTCAAACAGCAGAAGCACACACCAAATCTACAAAACCATACACTAATTTTCATCCTTTGACTCAGTTTTCAATTTCATAAAACACTTTTTGCAAAACACAACACACAGTTCTCTGCGTAACACACAAAAATCTAAGAGGAAGTATCTTGATTTACTTTTTCAAACACAACCAATCAAAATGTTTTTTTGGATTATCCTGCTTGCCACCGTCGTAACAGCCATTCCACTGCTGTCTTCCTCGGCAGCGGAACTTCACCGCAGCACTTCTGTTACTCCAGTTCTGAAGAAATCTGGTTTGGATCCTAATGACCCAAATAATTACCGCCCCATTTCCAACCTCCCATTCATTACTAAACTTATAGAATGGACTTTAGCAAATTATTTTCTACTTGCAGCTGACAATGACCTTTTATTCACCTTGATCCTTCTCGACCTTACTACAGCTTTCGACACCATCTCCCACTCAATTCTATTGGAACGTTTGGCCACCATTGGGATCATTAATAATGCACTAGCCTGGTTCAGGTCCTACCCACATAATAGAAAATATTTCATTCAGGCAAACAATGTCACATCGAAAACTATCACAGTTACTCATGGTGTTCCTCAGGGTTCAGTGCTGGGTCCATTGCATTTATCATCTACATTTTACCTCTGGGCAATATTATCCGTCATTTTGGGATACATTTTCACTGCTACGCCGATGATACACAACTCTATCTTTCTACAAAACCAAATACTTCTCTCCCTCCCTCTGCTCTCACTTCCTGTCTACAAGCTATCAGCAACTGTATGTCAATCTACCTTCTCAAACTCAAAGGAAATAAAAGTGAGGTTCTCCTCGTTGGTTCTAGGGCCACACTCTCCAAAGCTCATTCTTTGCACCGTACCAGTTGATGGCTCTCCGATTCCCATCTCCTCCCAAGTTAAAGTCTTGGGTGGTTTGAGAGGCGCCATCAAATAAAATGTATTATTATTAAAGTTTAGAAAAAAGTAGCAACGTTTTGAAAATGTGTGTAAAAAGTTGAAAAAAAACTGTAAAAAAAAAATTCACACCAAACAATCTTCTCACTAGCCGCTTTGTGTTTATAATCACACTCATGTAAACTATTCTAACTCAAACTTCCAGGAATTTTTTTAAAAATACACACACACACACACACACACACACACACACACACACACACACACTCTCACACACACACACACACACACACACACACTGAGAGAGTGAACGTTTCCGTTGTGTAACCTTCCTGTCCGTGATGTTCTAACCAGATCTAATCAAACACATAAGTGATATAAACTTGTGTGAACTGATATTGGATATAAATATGTGATGGAACATGGAGCACATGAACAGCCTGATAATCTCAGGAGACGTCATGACAGTAATGTGCTCTGAGAACAGACTAAATATATGAGCAGAGACGTGAGGCTAACAGGACTGGCTTTAACATTAACTTAAAGTAATGAATATTATTAACCATTCTCATCATGATGTTATTTGTACTTGATGAACGTTCTCTTAATGTCTCATAAACATTCAAATAACACTATGTTTTAGGGTAAAAATAACTTTTGTAGAATGATGTAAGAAATGGTTTTACATACATACATATTTACATACTTTATTCTACAACAAAAAATACATCCGTAAAGTCACCTTGTGATTATTTTAAGCTTTACACACAGAATCTTTACTTGTCACACAGTTTCTGAAAGCTGAAACTCAAACAGCAGAAGCACACACCAAATCTACAAAACCATACACTAATTTTCATCCTTTGACTCAGTTTTCAATTTCATAAAACACTTTTTGCAAAACACAACACACAGTTCTCTGCGTAACACACAAAAATCTAAGAGGAAGTATCTTGATTTACTTTTTCAAACACAACCAATCAAAATGTTTTTTTGGATTATCCTGCTTGCCACCGTCGTAACAGCCATTCCACTGCTGTCTTCCTCGGCAGCGGAACTTCACCGCAGCACTTCTGTTACTCCAGTTCTGAAGAAATCTGGTTTGGATCCTAATGACCCAAATAATTACCGCCCCATTTCCAACCTCCCATTCATTACTAAACTTATAGAATGGACTTTAGCAAATTATTTTCTACTTGCAGCTGACAATGACCTTTTATTCACCTTGATCCTTCTCGACCTTACTACAGCTTTCGACACCATCTCCCACTCAATTCTATTGGAACGTTTGGCCACCATTGGGATCATTAATAATGCACTAGCCTGGTTCAGGTCCTACCCACATAATAGAAAATATTTCATTCAGGCAAACAATGTCACATCGAAAACTATCACAGTTACTCATGGTGTTCCTCAGGGTTCAGTGCTGGGTCCATTGCATTTATCATCTACATTTTACCTCTGGGCAATATTATCCGTCATTTTGGGATACATTTTCACTGCTACGCCGATGATACACAACTCTATCTTTCTACAAAACCAAATACTTCTCTCCCTCCCTCTGCTCTCACTTCCTGTCTACAAGCTATCAGCAACTGTATGTCAATCTACCTTCTCAAACTCAAAGGAAATAAAAGTGAGGTTCTCCTCGTTGGTTCTAGGGCCACACTCTCCAAAGCTCATTCTTTGCACCGTACCAGTTGATGGCTCTCCGATTCCCATCTCCTCCCAAGTTAAAGTCTTGGGTGGTTTGAGAGGCGCCATCAAATAAAATGTATTATTATTAAAGTTTAGAAAAAAGTAGCAACGTTTTGAAAATGTGTGTAAAAAGTTGAAAAAAAACTGTAAAAAAAAAATTCACACCAAACAATCTTCTCACTAGCCGCTTTGTGTTTATAATCACACTCATGTAAACTATTCTAACTCAAACTTCCAGGAATTTTTTTAAAAATAAAAACTGAAAGAGTTGTTGAAGGTTAACGGTGGTGATGTTGAAGTCATGTGACTGTAGTGTAGTTCATTTCTAGCCTACGTTAAGTTTTTTTCTTCTGCCAATTGCAATAAAATTAAAAAAAGTTGTATTCATTTGTAAAGATTTTCATGATGAACAAAGTTTGTCAGAATCCTAACCCTGAGAAACGAATCACTTGTGTTTCTCTCATTTGTAAGTCACTTTAGATAAAAGCTTCTGCTAAATGAATAAATGTAAATGTGACACACACACACACACACACTCTCTCTCTCTCTCTCTCTCTCTCTCTCTCTCTCTCTCTCTCTCGCTTTCATAAGTGCAGTAATTACAGCTCTTCTCTAGGTAAAATCAGGCGAGTGAAGCGCCTAACTGTGAAACACACACACACACACACACACACACACACTTCCCGGCTCGTCTGTCCTCACTTCTGTGTGTCTCTCCACAGTCTCAGTTCATCATTTACATAAACCCAAGAATTTGGCAAAGCTCTGCATTAATAATCATCCTAACGAAGGCCTGTTTAATTGCCAGGAGCAGTGTTTATGTGCATGCAAATGAGCTGATGAATATTCATGAGGGTTGTCAGGGAAAGCCTGTGCATCATGTTCAGATGTGCTGCAAACGCCCACCGCAGCCATCTGACCTCTGGATCCACAAACAAACAGACAAACACAATGCCTGCGGCACGCACACACACACACACACACACACACACACACACTCACACTCACACTCACACACTGATGACTACTACACTAGTGCACTACAGTACACACTAGCACAACGGTGGGATGATGTTTGATGATGATTTGATATTATTTCCCTCACAGAGCTTCTGAAAACGGAACTGAGCCTTAATGAGGCTCTCAAATCATTATTTACAATTGAGCTAATTTCTGTGATTAATTTGTCTTTCACCTTGCAGATCATGAAGTTGTGATCAGCGGAAGTAACAGGTTATTATAGTTCACTAAAACTCAAACTAAAGCCATTAGATGCTCTAAAATAACAATTCAATTCAAGTTTATTTGTATAGCGCTTTTCACGATACACCGCGAAACAGCCTAGGACGCTCCCAGAAAAGATTCCAGTTATTAACAAAGAGCAGTTTCTGTTCTTTACACCATGACAATAACCATTCATTTAAAGCTAAAAGTCTACTGAACTTTTCATGTCCTCTTCGATACGTGGGAAGTGGTCCTGACACGATGATCATCGTCGCGGGCGATGTGCGGCGCACCGTCTCGATCAGGCTCCTGAAATAACAAAAACTAAAAAAAAATTAATAAAACCTATAAATATTACAAAAATAAAAAATGGCAAAAATGCACAACAGAATTACTAAAATTTTAACTTAAATTCAAATGCAAGCAGAAAATATACAAGTGAAAATATTAACAAACACAATAATAGCATCTCAAGGATACTAAAATAAAAAACATTTTTCTCTCTATTATGACTTATATTCAAGTGTATCGGATTAACAAAAAAAATAAATAAATAATAACTGTAGGGCGGGACTCGGTTCGTTGATTGGATGTTGAGTTGTGGGCATGGCTTCCAAAACATGAATATGAATATACAGTGAATTGTAAGAAAGGGCGGGGTTTTAGCAGACTAAATGATTGGAGAAGACAGCACACATCACCAGACAGATCCAGTGATGACATTTTGATATAGATGGTAAATAAATAAAATGAATTGTTCTCCATTCGGAGAATAGAATACTTTAAATACATAATTCAGGCACAAATGAAGTTCTGCCATCATTTACTCACTTTCAAAGCCATCAAAGCGTCATTACAGCACTTCATATGACTCATGTGCGCTATACTCAAATCTTCTGAAGTCACATGAGGAACAGAGCCATAATTCATGATTCACTGCAACTCTTCCTCTTAGAACTCACTCGCACATCCACTTATTTAAACTTGCCACATCACATTCAGTGCCAGAAGATCTTCAGCGTCAGTGACGTCATCTTCATTATTCCTCCAGAGAACAAAAGCCATTCAGGTTTGAAACAACACAAAGGTGATTAACTGAACTTTGATTTTTGGATGAACTCTTCCTTTAAGATCAATGTGTGTCTTGTGTTTGAGTCCTTTCCCCTGAGACTGTAGATGAGCTCACAGATCATTACTGGAGCTCCATCGGTAGATCATGACGTTTGCAACACCAGCGTCACGGGTTTGATTGCATGAACTGATCAGATGTACGCCTGAGAGCTACTTTAGGTAAACGCATCTGCCAAATGCATGAATGTAAACCCAACAGTTACTCGATTTTCACAGGTCACACATTCAGGAAGAATTTCAGACGAGTCTGTGTCGTTTGTTTCTTCATCTGATGAAGAGCAGAGGAACTGACACTCGGTGTGAAACGTGGCATCCTAAAACAAGTTCAATAAGTCACTGATGTAACTGAAGATCTTCAGTGTTTCTCACTCGTTCACTGAACTTTGCCTTCATTAACTCTGGATTACAGCAGACGCTTTAAATAACAGCCGATTTGAATCATATCAGAGGAGTTTAATAAAGTCCTTCAGGTCACGTGATCAAACACCAGAGAATGGAACCAGAAAAGAATCAGATGTTGAAGATCACGCCTGTGAAACTGTAGAAATCAAGTAGTTCAACTATAGTTAAACTACCCAAGTGAAAATACTTTTATTCATCAGTGATGCATTAAATCGATCAACAGTGACAGTGAAGACATTTATAATGTTACACAAGATTTCTATTTCAAATAAATGCTGTTCTTCTGAACTTTCTGTTCATCTGTGAATCCTGAAAACTAAAATGTATCACAGTTTCCACAAAAATATTGTGCAGCACGACTTTTCAACACTGATAATAATCAGAAATGTTTCTAATAATCAGCATATTATACTGATTTCTGAAGATCATGTGACACTGAAGACTGGAGGAATGATGCTGAAAATACAGCTGCGCATCACAGAAATACATTACAGTTTATATACAGAACCAATGATCGACAAGAAATAAAACAGCTAGAAATAATATGAATAATCTCATATATTATTTATATGAAATGTATTTTAAAAGGAAACAAACACATATAAATTTATGGTAATTACAAAATATTTATGGTCAATATTTATGGTATTTATGGTGTGTGTGTGTGAGTGTGAGTGTGTGTGTGTGTGAGTGTGTGTGAGTGTGAGTGTGTGTGAGTGTGTGTGTGTGTGTGTGTGTGTGTGTGTGTGTGTGTGTGCGAGTGCGTGTGTGTCTGTGAGTGAGTGAGTGTGCGTGAGTGTGCGTGAGTGTACACGCACACACACACACACACACACACACACACAAACACACATGTTTGT